CGTCTTTTTCTCTCTATATATACAAAGCATATATGGGGTTTATATATGCTTAGCCATAGTATACGCTCACGCGCTTGTTATGCACGATCAGCTCAACGTCTATTCGTATGTATATATATCAATATCTGTATATATATATGTCTGAATTGTCGCGCTTTCTGACGGGGGGAGTTAGGCTTTGAGCTTTACTTTACGTGTCTGTTTTCTGCTTCTTTTATAATATATGCGCCGTTGTTGTTTTTTTTTTTTTTTTACTTCTCTCTACTTTGAGCAGTTATAAAGCAAAGCAGGTCGTTGACTTGGTTTTGAATTTTGTATTTTATTTTTTGTGCTTATTAATTGAGTATTCGATATGCCGGAATATGGCAAACGATCTAAGCAAATGTAAATTTTATACAAATTTTGGCGTATACATACATATACAATGTATATTCATATAGTCATAATATAATAGCGACACGTGCAAAACACACGATGATCAGCTCGATTCACTTTGTTGTTTAGCACTCAAGTGTTAATTGATAGTGATTGACGTAGGGTATGATCGACTAGACTAGTTAATTTTCACCTATTTCAGTATCAAGTTGATTTCATTCGCAGCATTTAAATTCATCGATGACTTCTTTTATTTGTCCATTGTATATCAATATCGATTATAATTCTTTTTATATTTATACATTTAAATGAAGCGAAAACTTGTTTTACCCCATTTCATTCGATAGGCTCTTTCGTTTCAATTTGCCGATTACTATATGCGTATTCCCATCTGATAATTACATGGAATATGATCAACTTATGTCAAACCTATGCACCTATACCTATGTATATGTAAATAGAGTTGGAATTTTTTATTGCACTCAAAGGCTTCTTAAAATTTAAGGAATTTCAAATTGAATATTATCATCATTGAATCACAACCGCAGGGAAGGTTCCTTCGAGCCGTCTTGCCTGGGTTTACTTTGATTTTCTTCCTCTTCTGATGAGTTACCCTAAGCTCATTGAATTTCACGTAGGCGACAGACAATGCACAGCCTTCAGGTCCTATACATGTACATAGTAAGTATATATGAATGTACATCCACTTTAAGGGTTGTTTTCTGCTAAGAGCACTTGAGTACTGTTTAGCTGATAAAGAAGAAAAGAGGAGAAGAAGACCTCATAAAAGAGATCAAATGTCAACTGGCAACACATGCGCATTGCTTTTGTAGTCTTCGCTCCGAAGCCCCGTAGCCGGAGGAGGTTTTCCAAGAAGAAGCAGCAGCAGCAGCGTCTATAAGATGTAAGTGCATCCGCAGGTACGCATTTCCTTGTGCCCATTCTTCCAGCGCTCTCCTTCCCGTTCCACTCAACTGTTGAGCACTTCGACTACCTGCTGATGCTGCTGCTGCCGCTGCTCGCTGAGGGGTCGTTCGGCCATCATTAACAGCGCAGCAGCAGCAACAATACTATCTCTCTCTCTCTCTCGCTCTCTCTGCTTGCCTTGCAGCTGTGCATTCGAACAGGCCGTTAATCTTAATGCGCCGTGGCGGCTGTCGCTTCTGCCTTTTTATGTTATCAGATTTTTCTTATTTTTCTCATCGTTCGTTCTACTGCGCAGCAGCAGCAGTAACAGCAACAGCATCAGCCAGAGCCGCATCCAGAGCCACAGCCACTTGATGCACACAGCCAGCAGGCAGTGGTGTCGGCAGCAGGGGGTAGGATGTGCCTGCGGAAATTACTCATTAACTTAACTCTCAACAGCAGCAGGGGCAGCACGATTGCACTTTAAGCGTGAATCACTGCACGAGAGCGAATGAGAGGAAGAGAAGGAGCTATTGGAATAGCTCCTTTGATAGATCATATGTCTGCAGCGTATTTCCTCTTCTAATCTGAGCACACGCTGACGACTAACAAAGAGCTTGCTAAGCACGCACTTGACAGAGACCGAGAAGTTTACAATCCAATTAACAGTTAGGTAGGAATTTTGGGTGAGACATGGAAAAAAGACTTGCATTAATATATCAAATTTCAAAACTGTGATCGTAGTATAAAGAACTTCAAAAGATCAAACAATTGTTGGATTTTATAAAATGTTCAAAAATATAACATTCATTTTAATTTTTTATTGGATAAAGTTCTTATATTGCATACATAGACTCAGTCTTATTATTTTGCTAAGACGCAAATGTTTTGTCTATTTTCCCCCATCCTTTATTTACAAAGCTAAAAAAAAGATCTTTAAATCAATCAATTATCGATAAGATTTTATATATACAAATCCAATAAAGTTAACAGGCAATTATTTTGCAATCGACAACACGTATAAATATTCGATAAATTATCGACACGTATACAGGATGCTCGCCTGCTTGGCTGTTCAATTTCCTTGGCCATTTTTTCAAACGACCCCATTTTCCTTGTCTGGCATTTCCGATCCCACACGCCCAGTCGTATCGTGGCGTGTCCCCCACCCTCCTCGCCCCGTCCACTCAACAGTCAGGCAATTTCGCTTAAAGCGGAAATCTCTGCATAAGCAAAAATTCTTTTCACACACACGCAAAGACATGTATACAAACATTCCTGTGGCCACTCTCTCTCTCTCTCTGGGTCTCTCTTCACGCTGCAGTTTCCTCTGCGAGCTTTAGCTTTTACATTTCTTATTTGCTGTCGCCTTTCTTGTTGTTGTTTTTGTTGTATTGAGATCTCTGCTGCTGCTGGCATTTTTCTAAACTGATCGTTTTATAATTTTTCGTTTGTAATTTCCGTTGAAACCGGTTCGCCATCATCCGCATACCTAACTACCTGTGCCTGTTGCCCCCTCGTTCTCCCCCTCTCCCTCTCCTTTCTCTTTACCCTTTGTGCCTGCTGTGTTCGTTCATCCAAGCCGCGCCTCCTTCGCCGTTGCCGTCGTTCGCTGTCATCTTCGCTGGCTGAGATTTAGAATACACACATGCATATATATGTACGTACATACATACATACATACATGCTTGAGTATTTATATTCTTATTCTTCTCGCATTGCGTGCGTCGCCGCGTTTTGTGTTCTCTTGCCTTCTTTCACTTTGTTGGTGTTGCTTTTGTTTTTGTTGTTGTTGCTGCCTTTTGGTATGATGAACATTCATTTGTCATTTTACTACGTGCCACCGACTGGTTGAATGTTTATTTGTAATTGTTGTTGTTGYTATTGTTGCTGTTGCTCGGAGCGGGCGAACATGTGTGTAGTACATATGTATATGAATTTATTTTAGTCAAATTAAACCATATGTTGTTTGCGGCAACCAAAATAACACGTAGGATCGCTCATACATACAGACAATACAATACAATCACAGATATGCGTACATGCGTACATATGCGCGTGTGTGTGTGCGTGTGTACACAATCAGCAGAGGGCAGCAGCACCTCTTAAACAAAACAAATAGACCCCCTCTAAGTAAAAGACATGTACACAATAAAATATATAYATTTATATATACATACATACATGCATAGATATGGACATACAAATAAACATGTGTATATCCCACAGTGCGGGCAGTGATCATCGTCATCACATCATCATCATCATCATCGTCATCTTTCTCATCTGTTATGCCTGTCTTCTCCTGTTTCTTGCTCAACACAAAAAATAATAACAAAAACAACAACAATAGCATGCAAACAAAATATATTGCTCACGAGCGCTCTCTTAGTGGGCCTATTGGCGTCTCGCTTGCACGCTTTTGAGCTATAGCTTAAGTAAATTTCTTTGCTCACTTGTTGAAATGCTTCCCGGAGAATGAGGAAGTTTCTGTTCTGCTGCTGAGAGCGCGATGAGATAAATTTTAATGTACGAGCGCGTGCGTGTGTGTATGTGTACTCATATGCATGTGTGTATGTGCAACTGGGCAATGCCTGAACGCGCGAGTGAAATACAGGGTGCGCCAGTGTAGCTGCTTCTTGAAAATTGGCTTGTTGCTCTCTTTACCCACTGGCGGATTTATTAGTCGTCGTCGTTGCGCCAACATCTTTCACCCGCTGCTKCTGCTGCTCCCGCTGCTACTTTTGAAACGAGTTTTGTGTATGGAATGTGCACTTCCGTTTGCTGTTGCCGCTGCCGTCGTCTGCTGTTGCTGTTGCTTTTGCTGCTGCTGCAGTGATATGCCCGGCAAGCCTAAATGGGTACGGCTTTCAAGTTTCTTAAAGCACGCAGCACCTCCCACCTTCCGTCGCAGACACCACAACCTTAACGGCTACGGCATCAATACATTCGTTTATGTTGAAATCTTACAGCAATCACGCTAAAGATATGCCTGAGTGTGTGAGCGTGTGTGTGTTGGGCTCCATGTGTTGTCGATTTGTATATGCACATATGTATGTATTTGTTTGTCGGTGTTTGCTTTGTACACATCCGGAATAGTAGCGTCAACGTCGAAGCCAGCGACGACGACGCCAACGCACATATTTATGGCAATTACCATATTGAGTAATTTTCAATTAAAAAGCTTAATTTTATATACGTAGATATATACACAGATATAGTATCTACATATGCTTAGACATTAGTGAAAGCTCTCTTGAGTGTAAACAGACAGTAGTCCTGTTAAATGGGAAAAAAACCCAGAAGAGAATTTTAGTTCATAGAACGTAGGGCAGAGAGTGATGTCAACGGCAGTTGTTTTGTTGCAAAGCTTTCACTTGATCGCTTCCTGCGGGGGTGTTTTTGAATGTGAGAAAAATAATAAGAGCAAATGGCGATAATACAGTAATTGAGCGTTCATATGCGTGCATGTGTGTGTGTCTATGAGTGCTTGCGTATTGATTCTGACTCATGCTTAGCGTTTTGTCTCGTTCTCGCTCGCTCGCTCAGCTGGTTTGTGCCTGTTGCGCTGCCTGCTGAGCAGATTTGTTTATGAAGAAATCAGATTTGCTTGGAATGCGATTGAGTGCTATCTCTTTCGACGCATACAGGGTGATTTTGCACGTATGGTTCATATTCTAGCCTTTCCTAATAATCAAATTTGTTTGCTCTCTTTCCAGGTTGTTTTAATCTAGTGGCGTTTGCATGTCCAAAATGAAAATGCTTCCAGTACAGCTATCACTGAATCCGCTTAATCCCGGCATCTGGGGCGATGTCATGTGGCGCTGCCCCCCACCACCGTCCAGTCAGTTGGCTGAGCTCAAAACACAATTGCCCCCATCCTTGCCATCAGATCCGCGCCTCTGGAGTCGCGACGATGTGCTCGTGTTTCTCCGCTTCTGCGTGCGTGAGTTCGATTTGCCCAAACTCGACTTTGATCTCTTTCAAATGAATGGCAAAGCCCTGTGCCTGCTGACCCGCACAGACTTTGGCCATCGCTGCCCTGGCGCCGGCGACGTCCTGCACAATGTGCTACAGATGCTGATCATCGAGTCGCACATGATGCAATGGCATCTGCCCAACAGCCCCGTCACGCCCACCGGCCGCTACCCGCTGTCTCCGCACAGCCACCCGCCGACACCCACCTGGCCACCCTTGAACGCACCTCCCGGAGCCGACCCCGGCGGCAGCAGCAATCCCTTCCACAGCAGCAGCAGTGTGGCCGCCCACATGGCCGCCCACCACTTCATGGCGCCCAACTCGGTGACCCTCAGTCCGCCGCCCTCTGTCGACTCGCAGGCCAGCAGTCCGCCGGAGTCGGCCTCGGGATACTCGAGTGCCGGCGCCTCAGCAGCAGCCATGAGCAGCGCGGTCGCCGCAGCGGCCGCAGCAGCGGCGGCGGCAGCAGCAGCCGTTGCCGGCTCCTCCAGTGCGAGCAGCACCACCAGCAATGGGTCCACATTGAACGGCTGTGTGCAGCCTATGAAGGGCATCCAGTCCAGTGCCAGCAGCAACCACTCCGACTCCGAGGAGGAGTTCGCTGAGTCAGCCAACCAGAGCAACAACAATAACAGCAGCAGCAGCAACAATGGCAGCAACAGCAACAACAGCAACAGCAACAACAACAGCAGCAACACCAACAGCAACAACAAAGCTCTGCCTCTGGCGCCGCTCTCCTACAGCGCAGGCAGTCCGCCGGGCACGCCCATTCACAAGGATATGAAACCCAACTGGACGCAGCAGCTGACCAACAGCTTTGTCAGCTCCTGGTCCCAGCAGCAACAGCAGCAGCAGCAACAACAACAACAGCAGCAACAACAACAGCAGCAGCAGCAACAGCAACAACAGAAGTTGACACTGGAGAATGCAGCGGGCGCCATTGTGGCTGCAGGGGGTGGCTCGATATCCGCCCCAACCACGCCCAGTTATATGTACAAAGCGAAGCGGGAGTTCTTTCCGGAGAACTCGGAGCCAAATACGAGTGAGTGAAGCTACGAATTGTTGCAAATTTGAATTGATAACAAGTTATCGATGTAAATTGTTGATATGTGAATAGTATACGTAATCGATAAATCGATAACAGCGCAAACAATTGTTAGTACCAGCAATATCGATCATAATTTATATCAATTTTAATTTCGATTTCAATTACTATTTATCGAAACACTATAACTAATCGATATTTTCCATTGCCCTCGATAGACGGCCGCCTCCTGTGGGACTTTCTGCAGCAGCTGCTGAACGACCGCAACCAGAAGTACAGCGATCTGATTGCCTGGAAGTGCCGCGACACGGGCGTCTTCAAGATCGTCGATCCCGCCGGCCTGGCCAAGCTGTGGGGCATCCAGAAGAACCATTTATCGATGAACTATGACAAGATGTCGCGCGCCCTGCGATATTACTACCGTGTCAACATTCTGCGCAAGGTGCAGGGCGAGCGGCATTGCTACCAGTTCCTGCGTAATCCCACGGAGCTGAAGAACATCAAGAACATATCGCAGCTGAGGCAGACGGCGACGGCGTCAGCGACACCTGGCGAGCAGGTGGGCAGTCCGTCGGCCAGCAGTTGGAGTCAGCAGCAGCAGCAGCAACAACAGCAACAGTCGCCCCAGCGTCCCGCATCGCGAAATGCCCAGCCCATGGCTCTGCCCACGGCAGCAGCKGTTGCTGCTGCTGCTGCGGCCGCTGGCTATGGACCGCAGCCGACGTCGCCGCTCTTCATGCACGCCTTTCACTTCCTGTCCGCTGCCGCCGCAGCGCCGCCGCCCAACTCGCCTGGATCCGTGGCCTGCCTGACTCCGGGCGCCGCCACCTCAGCGCCTGGCGACAAATTCCAATTTCACCCGCTGAAGCTGGAGAGCGCCAACGACAGCGCTGGCGAGGATCTGAAGCCCACGGACCTGAGTGTGAGCAGCAAGACTGCGAATGTGAATGCGAATGCAAACGCCAATGCGAACGGCAATGCGAATGCGAATCTGAATGAGGATTGCTATCCGTAAGTGCAGATGCCAGTCGCTGCCCTTGCTAACCTTGCTAATTACCCAACTGCAACAACTCTATTGCAGGCTCATACGTAATGCGGATGGCTTGACCACCATTAAGCTGATACGCCAGTCGGAGCACAAGGCGGAGGCAAGCGAGCAGCTGACGGCGGCTGCAGGTGGCAGCCACAGCGCTGCCAACTCACCTCGGCCCATGGATGCAGTCGAGCGGGAGCGGGAACGGGAACGGGAAAGGGAACGGGAGCGGGAAAGGGAGCGAGAGCCACAAGCTGTGCCCATGGATAGTGAATGCAATGGCAGCGAGGATGCGGCATTTAGGCATATGCATTAGGCTCCACACACACATATGCCCACACCCACACCCATACCCACCCTTCACACCTGCTCTATGACAATCAGCCACAAACACAAAACTTTACCTGAGCAACATGAATGCAGCTGCCTTAGGGGACCAGCCAACAGCACACTCTCACACTCACTCTCACACTCACACTCACACTCACACACTCATTAACTTGTTGTACATACCATACACACGCACACACCTTTTGTATATGTGTGTGTGCTGATTAGCTTTTAAGCTTAGTTTAGCCTGCAGCCTTAAATAATAGAAATTCAAAAAGAAAAGCATATTCTAGGCATAAGCTATACATAGATATATATAGTTGCATAAGTCACACACCCACACACACTCATACATACGCATGCAATACATATACACACACACCTGTACTGTAATTTGTTTATATATATACCATATGAGAAATGTAGCTTAAGTAGTTTCTTCTCTTCACTTTTGTATGTGACCGGCGCAGCGCAGCCTTTCAAAGTTTTACAGAGTTATGTGCCAATTTTCTACATATGCTAAACAGCAATTAAACAATTATTAAGCTTAAATCAAACACACACATACACACCTTAGTCTATAAGTGTTGTCACCTTTGAGCTTTACAATGTTGCCTCAACAAATGGTTTCACCCAAAATGGAAAACAAAATTGTTAGAAAATATACAAAAAAAAAAAAAAAA